TCCCTTGAAGCCTTCAGGCTTGTGATATATTCAAATAAAGCATTCTTATTCTGTTTGAGACATGCAGCTACTTCAGACTGTAAAAAGCTATATCAACTTCTTAGTTTTCCTCTTACTTGTACACTGTCAAAAGGCAGCAAGGTTATCATTCACTGGTGCATTAGAGTATATTTTCTAACAAAAAAAAAAAAATAGAAGGACTACAGTGGTAAAGCAGTGGCATCTGGAAAAATCAAACAATGTGAGTTAATACATTCTTTGTGGGCTGAAGGAAGCAATAGAGTCAAGGAAGGGCTTTGGATGTTATGTTTTACAATACCTCTGGAGGCCCAAGCCCCACTGTAGGCTGTTTTCTTCCTGCCTTTGGACAAGCTGAAATTAACTGGTAATAACACACAATTAAAAGCGCATGTGTGTGTCTGTGAAGGCGTGTGTGACTTTGCTCTAATTCCACTCCTTCTGTGCATTTTAACTTTCAAACTTTCAAACGGCGGTGAAGAGGAGACAGACAGGTATACATAGCAGCCACATCAAAATCTTGGTGGGGTAAGGGGAACATTTGACACCTCCTTGTTTCAATGCCCCCTGTCTGTTTTTAATTTCACTAAATCGCTCCCGTCTGGGGATTGTATATTTTCAGTGGCCTCTCCCAGCAATGCAGAGGTAGAGTGTTAGTGTGCCAAACCCCAGCTATGCTCAGGCACAGGGCTGCAGATTTGCAGGAGGCAAGAGGGGAGTCAGCTCATGGGACCGACCATTCTCCCAACTTAACTCAGGTCTTAAAGCAATGCCAAGAAATCTGACTTGCCCTTTTCCCTTCATAGTCATCTTACAAGGGAAGACGTGCACAATCTGGGTAACAAATTGGCTAATAATCTTCTCACACTGTAGATTTGAAAATATCATCAAGGTCTGTGTGTCTGAAAGGTCCCCTGTTAGTGAGAGAATACTGGACTGCAGCTGCTGCTCAGGACAACAAGGATTATGCTGGCTTGGGGTAGGGGGGTTTCTTGGTTTTAAGAGGCAAGCAGGATCTGGCCCTGAGCACCTCCAGGGAGAAGAATGGTTTGGAGGGGCAATTTGAAGAGGATTTCACTGCACAGCTGTAGGCATGATGGAGACTGGACTCCCTGTCTGTTGCCGTGGAGGCAAGTGGAGCTTTTTCTTCTGTTGTTTTTTGAGAGAAAAGCTCTGACCCAAAAGAGAAAGCTTGTGCAATCTTGGGAGGAGCTGTTTCATAGCAAGGAAAGTGAACAAGACAACATTAGGCAAGAAAAAAAGAAGAGCTCCTCAGTCACCTGCTCCAAGGCTGAACACCACTGTCACAGGGCATAACCCTACATCCCTCCTCCTCTGAGCAACTCACCAGAGAGATCCCCTCTCAGGCACTGAACAGTGAACAGCAATTTCAAATGCTTATGCCTGAGCAGAAGCCCTTCATATATGGACACATATCAGGATGTAAACCAAAGCCATTCCATCTAGTATTGGTTTGCACAACTCACGTGCATTCATCTCATTGTGCATGGATAGGGACATGAGACAAGGCCAGAGTGAAGACTGGGCAGACTCCAAGGCTGTGTGGCTGCTGGGAGGGTTGCAAAGGGAGCCAAAGGGAGGGTTCCTCTAGGAGCCAGGGAGCTAAAATAACCCTCAAGATAAAACCAGCCAAGACACATCATGAATTACTTTGACCCACTGTATCTTCTCCTCCAAAGAGCAGGATTTGGCCTCAGTACAGCAAGGAAGTGGTAATAGCGTGCTTTGAGAAATCACATTGTGCCATTGCATGGTCCTGAGGATGCAATGAATGACTTACACAATAGGCTGGTAAGGCTATGAAAAGATAAGATACCTGAGCCTCTTCCACTAGAGCTTCGTTACATGAAAGCACACTTCTTTGAGATCGGAAAGATTTTTTTCCTCCCCTGCACTCGCTGAGTTCTCTGTGAATTGAGCATTACAGTGGCTTTGACTGTAACCATTATAATCATTTTCCAGTGCTAATGTTGTGGTTTTAATGAAAGGAAACAGCAAATGGTGTATCGACTCATATACACAAATCTGTACTTCATTTGCACAAAATAGCTTCTGGATGGCTTTCCTCCATGTTTTTGGTCAAAGCCACTCTTTTTGAGAAATGATCAATGTCTACAACTGTTTGCTCTTCCACAGATAAAGCAGATGCTATTCATTACTGCATTTGCCATGCATATATTACTACTTTCCCCAAAGCAGCCGCAGTGGGTCATATGTTTATTTTTCTTTAAATCCTTTTGTTCTTAAATCACTCCAAGGATATGATGAATAATTAATGCTGTAGTAACAGCATTATTGAATTAGGAAAGTCACTGGCAGCTTCCAAAATCATTGAGACAACCAACAAATAAACACAAACCACTTCTTTAGACTCAGATGTAGTGAAGCGGTGTGATGGTGTTGAGATAGCAAGAGGCCAGGCTGATGTGAGCACCTTTAAAGCTGTAGGACAGACTTACTGTTGCTCTCACATAAATCATAGCAGCTGTGATAGCAATGCAGATATTTTGAACAGTTTTGCAATAAGTAATAATGTTAAGAAAACTAAGACCTGATATGGGTATTTGGAGGGAATTCTGTTCTACAAGAAGTTATATGATTATAAAGAAAAGATTTATTCATGATTTTACGGTTTAGGTTTATTTAAAGAATAGAGATTTGAAGTTGATATCTTTCAGGTAGGTGTTCAGCATCTCCCAGGGATTACAGCCAGCAGAACCAGCAACAACTCACCAGGAAAGGAGATTATAGATTTCCAGATTAACCATTTGCAGTTACCACTGGAATATCTGGTTTGCAAGCAGAGTTAGCCTACTGTTTATGGTGATACAAGAGAATGTAATATGGTAATATTCCAGTTAAATGTGAATTAGTGTGAAATAGGAAAGCAGGATTAAGTTCATTTTCCTACATTTGTATACAGAAGGTTTCTACTGGCTTCCCAACAAGGCTCTTCAGGTTTCGAGATGTTCCCGTCGCTCATGTGTTTCATCACAGCACCTTGATGGACAGCAGAGCCAGGGGTCAGGCAACCGTTTGCACTACTGAACTTTTAAAACTCCTTTATGCAGAAATGAAGGACTGAAAAGACTGTGGGGTGGTGAGAAATAAAGCCTAGCATCTCCAACTGTTTCAGCTGGCAATTTGAAGGGAGGAACTTCTGTGGGTATGGAACTGCATCTTTATTGACAGCAGTAATAATCATGGCTTTCCTCAGCTGGGGCTGTCCCTGAGCACACTGCAGGGATGCCTGATTCTTGTCCCTGCAACTCTGTTTAGGATTTCTGTAGATATCAAGAGACTCTTCTTAGTGACTTCTGTGTACTCCTGAAAATACTTTACTGAGTGCTGTAGTGCTATATACTTTCCTGGCCTTGTAATATTTTTTTTATTTTTCACTGACTTGTTCCTTTTTAGGGCTGGGTAGGAAAAATGGTTTCCCTGTAGAGTGAAAGGTCTCACAGTTTCAAGATGGTCGCTGTTGCTGTTCTACTTCAGTATGCTACTAAGGCCATCTAAATAGGACCCTCTCTTAGTAGTCAGTCACTAGGGATTAAAACTCTCCCCAGCCCTGTTAAAGAACTATGTAAAAAATATTTCCATTAAAAAATAATAAAAAAAAGAAAGAATAAAATCTACTGTAGTCCAGGATCAGCTCAGTGTGCTGGAAGAGAGTGGGATGCTTTTGCTCTTTTCCTGGCTGAAGCAGTTGCACTGTCTACAAGTAACGACATGTCAGTCTGGGAAGAGACCTGGACTTCCATCGGTTCCTCCCAGCATGGTGATGTAATTCCTGGACTACCAGCTCAGGCTCTTTGATCCTCTTGCCTAATGATTGCCTTGGCATCTATGCAAACTGGAGTATCTCCAACAGGAGAAGTTGTCATTTTGAAGGAGCCAGAAGCCCAGAACGCACCTGGGCTGTCGGGTGCTGATTTTCCATGCTCATGGGTCAATTTAAAGAGGTTAATCCTACATGTGGTCTGCTGTTTTGGATCTGAATATCCTACTCAGGGAGTTCTGGCTGCCCTGAGGCAGCTAATGAAGGTCTCTTATTTCGACCAGAAGCTCACTGAACCCATGACCATCTTACCATTGAAAGTTCTGAGTTTGACAAATCAGCATTTTCTGATTTGAGGACTTTATTTCAGAGAACTTCCATGTTCCCTGTCACCTTTACCTGTAGATCTTCAGCAGATTTCTCTGCCTGCAGGTCTTCATTTTTCGAAGAAGTTTTCATTAAGCTCATTCATGGAAAATTATTGGAGACTACTTCATGAGCCTTTCTACAGTATAGGCTCTGCCTTTGTTTTCACCATGTTTTTGGTCAGCTTGCATCTGTGCTCACCCAGGTGCAATTCTGGACAGTTCTCTCTCTTCGTCCCCCAGCACTGGTAAGAAACAAATTGCTAAAATCCTTGACAGAAGTTATACATGTGTTACATCTCCGCAGCTGAGCAGGTGTACCTAAGTTATTACGGGGATAAACTGGATGTCCCTTCCATGGGATTAGTTGTGGGTACAGGGCAGGGGCTGTCATAGGTAGAGGTGAAGAATGGTCCTGGCCTCTTGAAAACCACCAAATCCATAAAAGGATCATTCAAAATCTTTCCCCATAACAGATCTACCCACCTTTCATTTATTTCCTCACCTCACATGGAATAACTGGTATCTGGAAGCTTCTGCTCTTCTTGTGCATCTGTCAAAAAAAGGGAGGGCAGGAGTCCTGCTAGAGCCAACAGAATTCAAACACATTCACCCCCTCGTTGCTCAAGCTCAATGTTTTTGATGTTCCAACTAAAGAAAATCTCTGCAGAGTTTTTTTTTGTCCTCAGAATGAAGCTTCCCACTGCTAGCCTTGGGAGACACAGAACATCCCAGCTAGGCAAGAGCTCTTTATGGATATTTCTAGTGCTCAGAGGGAGAAGGGGAAAAAAAAAAAAAAAAACAACAACAGCAAGTTTATGGTAATTACTTTAATGAGGCAAAGCCCTTTAGAATGCAAACATACTCAACAATACACAAAGAAACAATCAAAAAAAGTGTTTTATACAGGCTGTTTTATAAGAAGGTAATAAAAGCAATTGTATGGCACACTTGGTTGCATAAACAGGCTCACCATGGAAGGTGTTTGTGTGAGAGCAGGACTACGAATACTTAATTGCTTTCATTATTCTTATTTTCAGTACAAAATACTTCAATCAAAACTTAATCTGTGGCTTGATTTTTAAATAAAAAGGTTATATTCCAGTTCTATTGTTGTAAATATAATAAAACATGGTCTTTCTGTTAAACGGTATTTCATTTCTCACTGTTTATAAAGTGGTATAACAGTGATTACTATCTGCATCCCTGGCAATTTCAAAATATTTTTCAAAGGCAGGATCACTATTTCTCTTCATATGGAAGGAAGAAGACCAAAATATTCAAAAAGTATTCTGCATTAATGATGTGACTAGAAGTCATGAAAACCTTTGGTGAGATCCTTCTGTGGCTCCTAATCCTGTTTGAACCAGGCCCCAAAAGCAATGCAGATTTCAGATATATTCTCATTCATGCATGTCTTCTGATAAACACAGTGAGTACAAAGAAAGAACGTAAGGAAATATGAATTTGAGGACCTCAATAAGTTGCAAAATACAGAACTGAAAAAATGTCACCCATTTTCCCTTACCTCTCAGGAGAGTACATTACTCAGACAAAAGGGTTGTATGAATTTGAATACAATCTGGTGTGTCTGGAATGTTGCATTCTGCATCAAGGAATTTTTTTTTTTAGTATGTACTCTTACATTTGTGCTTTAGTGGCATCTAGACCAGAGTAATTTTCAAATACTTAGACATAAGAATTCCTTTTTATTTCCTCTGACTTTTTGCTTAAGGAAGAAACACAGAACCGTCAAAGTTTATGTGCACATAAACTGAGTGATAGGTCTGGAAAGATTTAGGGAACAAGGCTGTCTTATACAAGAAAATGAATATCTGGATGAAAAGGAAATATATGCATTAATGGTTTGTACTTTAGAGGCTGAGCACATTGCTGTGAAATAACATAACAGAGTGACACCAGAAAGGCCAGAGTCACTGTCAGTGAAAATGGATGTTTCTAGGAAAGAAATGATGATTTCTGTTTTTGAACTGATGGCAAAGGATGACTTCAAATTTGATATCTTAATTTACCTCTTTAATTAAAAAGAATCTTCTGCTAAAATGCACAGAGAGAAGTAGCACTTTTTCAGTTCACTAGGACTATAATAATTTTTATTCTTGAAACTGTCTGACTCTTGGACTTCCTGTTAGTGCTACAGAACGTCTGCCAAATAGGAAATGTCATTTTTATTTTCACCTTTCTCATCATTACAGATAGCATAATGCTGTCAGGGATCAAGAAGGTACCATTTCCTGTTACATCAGTAATGCCCAAAAACATTTCCCATGAAGAAAAAAAAATTAAATTAAAAAAAAAGAGGGCAGAAGTTCTCATTATGCCCTATCCCAAGGAAAGTAATTTTAACACTTTCCGTCTCACTACAGTAGAACTACTACCCAGGAGAACAAACACTTAACTAAGTTGGTGAATATTTTAAACCACCTATGAATTGTACAAAGAATATAGACTTTCCTATAACAGAACTCTGATCAGCTCCCACAGCTTATGGCAAAATCAGCTTTTCAGGCATTTATTTGCAGGGTGTGAAAGGGGCCAAGAATGTCCAAGGGGCCAACCAACTGCTGATCTTTCAGCATTGTATTCTTGCCTTTTCTTAGATGTCAAACCCAGATTGTTTGCTGACATGTCTCAGTCTCCAATAATTAAAGGCAAGACAACGTATTGATGATGATCATGTGTTCATGTATGTGGCTGCATATATAAGAAGGAATTTTATGTATTTCTAGGGAAAAAATAATTTCCAAATTGTATCCAAAAATATACAGAAGAGATGTATATATGGACACGACTGAATGCCTAAATATATTTTAAGAATATATATATATGTTTGCATGTATGCATTTCTGCAGGCCAAAACAGCTTTGATGAATTAAAGTAAGCACCTTGATGTACTGAACAGCTCCTTTTAAGCCAGGCAAATTATGCTTTCTAACCTTATTGTATATGTGTCTGATTAATTTAGTCATGAAAGGAACCAATTGCAAAACAAAGATTCTACATGTACCATAGTCCCATGGACTCATTTCTCCTAGAAAACAGCTTAATAATGGTACTTAAGACCAAATTTTTGCTTACAAAGTAAATGGGTATCTAGGTTTGGATTAGCTATTGTGCAAAATGGTCTAGCACAATAATATGAAATTTTCACAAGGAATCCAGACCATGCTTTCCTCTTAGTATCCAATTCTTCAAGGATTAGAAAGCAAGTCCTCAACCAGAAATCCAAACACACCAAAACAATCTATAACACACTACAGAAGTAGAATTGAAAAGACGAGTCATTTAGTCTGATGAGGTAGGTGGGTGTCTGGAAAAATACTGAATGCTGTCTGCTATCAACAGCCTTCAAGATCACGGAGTCTAGCAGAGGTAGACTGAAAATTAGTCACAAGCTGACATCTTCTTACAAGGACATGTGAAGAACAGCCAGGAACGAGCCATGAGAAACTTTTGAACCAGTCCCTCAAATAATCAGAGAGGCTTAGTGAGATGCCACCATATGATTATCTGACTGATCCTAAATGTATTGACTCTAAGATCATAAAGTATAGCTTTGCCAGTGTATGTTTATTGTCATAGAGGAGTTGTCAAATTTCCTTCCCCAGCCCCTTAACAGAGGTCCCTTGTTACAGAAATCAGGCTACAGTGAAGGTAGTCATAGATAAACCATGCAGTGCTCCTTTGACCCTCTCCTGCTTTGGTTTCCCCTTTTCTAACAGGAAGCTTTCTGCACTGGGGGCTCATCTGAGTTCATCCTGTGACAAGATATCCACCTAAGCCACCTAATAATGTTCCATGATTACCTTGGAGAGGTCTCGTTTCTCCAGGCCAGTGAACACCTTCACAGTGATGCTTACCAGTGGTACCTTCCCCTTCCACAGCAGCTTGTCCTTGTGCTCTGGAGACAGCACTGAAAAATGCAAATGACTGCCACGTGCAAGCATACTGATCAGGCTACTGACTGCAAGCAGCAGTCTGCAATGATGTTGCATTTTCATTAAGGGCCTCAAAATAGCAATAATCAAAATAGAGATGCTAACACACTGAGCTTGGCTTGTTTTTCATTCCAGGTTACGTAGTAGGCGAGACATCACTCTCTGGGTGTGAACCTGCAGTCAAACCAGGTTGCCTGATTTGGCTCTATGTGATGTAACACATTAGTGACTGTATCTCAATCACTCCTTACTGAGTCTGCACACTGATCAAACCCATAACAAAGGCTTTGCAAAGCATCATGATCCAAGTCTTTGGATGGTGTAAATAGGCACAGTAGCCATGGTCAACCCCCATTTCCAACAGCTCTTCCTCTTTACCTCTGTTTTTGTCACAATTGCATTGGTAAAGTTGCTTACTGAGGAAAAAAATAAAAAGCCTGTTTCCTTAGAAGAAATGCTGCCCAAGAACAGTTTACATCATGTGCTGTCTGGAAGTTATTCTGTGAAACATCGTAATAATTGCTTTTCCTGGACTGAGACACTTATTAGTAGCAGCTAAAGTTAACAGATTGGAAGATTGCCTCAAGATGATGGATGGGTTTTCTCAGATAGTAGATTTCTGGTCATTTTCCATGGCAGCTGTAAATTTAAAAATAATATAAAGTTAAGCAGTGGAAAAAAAGAATTAACAAATATTACATGGCTGCTGACCTGAATATTAGTCATCCTAAATTAACGTTAAAGTGTTACATATGATGAGCCAAACATTGCCCTGGGGTGTATACAGAAGTTTGTCGTTGATTATAAATGGGAAATGGCACATGTATGTGAACACTAAATTCAGTCAACTGCTTATTTGGGATTTTTAATTACTGCTTGTGGGAGGTGGAGACATTTCTGTTTTAGAATCCCCTTTCATACTAGTGATCTGGAAGAGAACTATAAAGAGCCATTCTCTGATGTGTAGTCAATATCCCAAGTTATTGCAATAATATCTCTACATATTTTTATAGTTGAAGAGTATTCATTCTCTCCAGAATTCAGGAGTCATTTGATCTGCCTGATGTTCAGTTTTAAGGTTGCTGCAGTCAAAAAATAATTTCTTTCTTAACAGAATGAAGAATTTTGTCCACAACCAAAATTCCTTTTACACTAAAACACCATTTTTCATAGACTTTGTCCTAATTTACCCTGTTGTTTTTGATGAAATCACGTCTTCTTCAGGTGAGTAGCTACAGAGGAGCTGCCAGAGCCGTGGAAAAAAACTCAAACCAAAACAATCAAATCTGACACAAATGAAGAAGTCTTGCACTCAGAGATACCATAATGATTCCTCACCCCCTCTACTGAATCTGAAGTACAGAAAACCTACAATAGTCCTGGCAAGCCCACAGACACACACAGACCCTTACCTTGTGAACATCTAACTCCTCTCAGTTCCTTTTGCACTTACCTAACACTGTTATACTAATTGCTTAGGCATATTTATGCTTTAAATGCTGCTAGTATTCATATATATAAGCTATAGGACATTGCTTAGCCTTATATTTAATGTCTTTCAGACTTTAGGTATAAATAATCCACAGTAGTTGCACTGAAAACAACTTAACTTGAATGCCAACCACAGAATATTGTTAGCACCAGGTTTATTCAGGGCCTATTTACTTCTGTTTATCCACAGGATTTGGTAATAAATACATGTATTTCAGGGCTCTAGGTACATTAAACATACTGAATAGTGAAAGCCTCTAGAAGCTAATTTCCCTGTCACTGCATTATAGTTAAATTGGTTACGCACGTCTCATTCAATTATGCAACTTGAAGAATACCAACAACATAGGTTCCTGATTTCAATAGTACATATTCTGGTTTTAGCACTTACAATGGATCAGCTTTTAGCATGAGACACTGAACTGCTTTGAATTTCGGAGTCCCAGTTTCAAATGTAAAACTGTCTTAGTGTGTGTGTCATTAATGGCTTTTCTTGTTATGCTTTCTGGATGTATACTATAATATTTAGTACAAATCAAAGTGAAGACTGGAAGGTAACTCACAGTGGATATATGAAGTTAAGCGTTTACACCAGCAGATTCTTTATTGATATCAGCTTAATCAAGTAGTTATTCAACCAGTAACAAAATGTGCACAGTAGTCAAATAAACTATTTGATGTTAAATCCTGACAGAGAGAAAATGCCAGGTATACTATCAAGTGTCTTCAGTGGGACTCTTTTAATGCTATCTAAGTGGAAGGCACTCTGCTACTACAGCAGTACAGAAGGAACAAGGATTCCCTGGAAGGGTTAAATTAATATTCACGTGAACTGACATACTGTTATGATTTTAGCATTTTGTAATAGCAATAAACCACATATCAAATTCAATAAAGATTGTCTGACAGATCTAAAAAAAGTAGGCATCAGCTGGGATTTGTAATTGAATGAATGTTCTCAATGTTTCCTTGACTTCTGTATGAGGCTTCATACTCCTTAGCACCTGCACCAATGGTCTTGTAAACGTGTCCTAAACACAATCTTTGAATGACATGAGTTTGGCAGGATGGCATACAATGATGAGAACTGGACAGTCAAACAGAAACCAGGAACGGTACAGGCAAGAACCATAAAGTTATTCAAAGAAGAATTCCTTGCAGTGAATGAAAATCCAACTAAAATGCAGAGTTCCATGTTGATTTTATCAGGAGGAAGATGGGAAGAGATGAGCTGTACACATAGCACATTCACAGCAGGGAAATACCAAGTAAGAAAGGATCCTTCCATCTAGCAGGAAAACCATGGCCTGGAAACCTAGACCAGACAGACTGAAAGTAAAGTGTCTTTCTAACAATAAAGATATTTATGAGTTGAAACAAACTTTCCAGGGATATACCGGATATATTTTATGATCTCTTAAATCCAAGAGGAAGAAATGCTTTAGCCAAAATGATTTTTTTTATATATTATAACTGCAGATAGTGTAAAGCTGCATAAGCAGACAAATTGATCATATTCTATGAGTATGAATGTATGCAAATTTACCAGAGGCAACATTTCCTTGTCTGCCTGTGGTATGTCTCATTAAGAAAATTGCTTGTTAAGAACTGTCTTCTAAGGAGGTGGATTGTCATTGTTTAATTTTACCTTAAGGGATATTATGAAACAAAAGTTTTATCAAACATTTAGAAAGTGCAGTAATGTCTAAAATACAATTTGTCTTGCAAAACTGCAAGTTGCTGAACAGAAAGAAGCCCTTAGTTGTTAGATACAAATCTGAGGTAAAATAGAGTGAAGAAATTGAATTCATCTCAGTTTAGTAAATATCAATAGAATAATCATGAAAATACTGCCACTATATATGCTTTGAACTCCATATGTGCCTCAGTGTTATTTTTAAAATAATTAGGACCACAATATATCTTCAGATATTTTCTGGTTCTATCATATAACAACTAATAACTGTTAGCATCCTCCCCTCTTCCATTTTGTAGCATACTTTATCTTCCAGAAACTTGCTAGGCCAGTTACATTAGCAAAAACAGAGAGTAAATCCATTCGAAACAATGTTTAGTTTTTGACCAAAAGCAGAATCTGTCTGTTTGCTTTTGCATGGTTAGGACAAAAAGCTCTATTGCTGCTTTTACAGCTAAATAGCATTTTACAATGAGCTCTGAAATTTTTGGGGAAGTTGGATTACAATGTTGGTTTAACTTCAGACACACCATTGTTTAGATGTAGGATCACTGCGATGTCCGGTCTCTGAAAACTTTAGTTTTCTTTTTGATATTAAAAAGACCACTGAAGTAATCCACAAAGAGCTTAGGCCTCAGGAAAGAAGTCTGAAAAACAAACACTGTTAAAGATCGGTAAGACACAATTATGTGGCTGACAATTACATGTGATAACAATTAAAATTATCTGATTCCAACCACATGGCATCCTAATACAGCAGATCTCCAAGCAAATAACGTGTCACATAATAGGTTTTGATTGATGTTGTCAGCAGGCTTTTGAACGTTACAGATACCTTCCAATCAATGCCAGAGAGAAATCAGTGGAGAAAACTGACCTCATCCTAAACCAAAATTAATTGCTTGTACCTAAATACCCTAGTTCTAACTGCTTGGTAACCTGAAATTCTTTCTTTTCTAGATGATTAGATACTTGTATACATGGTGTCCAGCTGCTTACTTGCAGTTGTAAATAACTTAGCTAATACATGCATTTGTGGTTTTAATGAAAACCCTAGATGTTTTCTGAGACATCTTTCAGCTACCTGCCAGTACATCTCTGGGAACATAGGTCAGATTACAAGCCAGATGAAGCACTCCAAACAATTGCTGAAGTCCATGTGTTGGTTGGCATAGCAGACCTAACCAGGAAGAATAAGGAGCTGCCAAGGAGCTGCCACTGAACAGCATGAGGTTACTTTGCTGCCAACTTTAATTTGCATTTAAAAAAATACGGATGAGTTAATGATTGCTAAACCAACAAATCATCCTCCTATTGGAGGAGCCCCAGAGGACATTCTGTCTCCAGTGGTGATATACCCAGTAAGAAAACACATTGTCACATTGCCTAGAATGGGCATACAAAAAGCAGAGGGGACCGTACCAGGAATTTGTAGTATTTTCATGGTGCCAGTCTCCACACATGTCCTTGGCTTAGCCTCCTGCTCCTTATTTTCCTCTAGACCAGCATGAGGGCACAGCCCAAAAGCTACTCTTCAGATCTGTGATGCAAGTTTTATTGTTTCCTTCTGTATACTGCTAAGTAGGAAGTGAAACATAAGGTCTTAAAAACGAATTGAGGAATAATACCATACATTTGTTAGAAGGACAGTTTTTGCTACCATTGTTGTTTAAAAAAAACAACATTTTCTACTTTGGCATCTAAATCAGGATTTCAACATCACAGCTGGAAAACCATCTGTCTTTTCAAACCAGGGTTTCCACAAACATAGCTCTCCCACTGTAGGCTGTGGAGTCAACAGCTCATTGAGAATGAAGGCTCAGTTAAGATACTGCAACAGTTTAGATGGTGGTGTTGAAGGCAAGCAAAAAAACTTATGTGTTATTCACATCAGTTTCACTGGTCTGACAAAGCACAGTGTCCAGCCACAATGCAAGATCCTGCCTGTGTTATAAATATATGGGGTTTATAACCAATGCATTGTAATTTCCCTATTCTTTATAACAGATCACGCTAGGGATGAAGAAAAATATGAACTAACAAAACTCATGAACAGACAATGCAACTCAGCAGTTATTCTTGACATCTCAGCCATTTATGTGTTTCTGTCATGAGTTAACAGTTCCATCCACAGTGTATGCCATATCTTTCCCTAAATGGCCCTTCCAGTAAGCTATAGTCAGTTTGACTGCACGATGGATGCCACCCTACTTTGAAGGAAATATACTGGGTTCCAAACAATAAGGAGAATTATCTAAACGTTCCATGTTAAATTAGAATGACATATTGTGCCCTGAAAGAAAAATTGCATTTGTTGTAGTTATGCACCAAAACTGTTAGCACCACAGGAGAGCAGGTTCCCCAGAACAGCAAAGCAGCAGCTTGTTGAAGTACACCACACATGTGAAAACTCTCCATATCCTTGCAGCTCTAAACTTTCAACACCAACCAGACAACCACATTCCTTGTCCTGAACTCCAGAGAACTCTCAAAAAAATAAGTCATATGATACTTAAACCTTACAGAGACAAGATCCCAATGTTGTGTAAGAATACATGAGACAAAATGACCAAGTCATAAAATGAACCACTGGTACAGTGATCAATAGAGTATGTAAAGAAGTCAAGTTATACAAAAACCTATGTAGCTATGCATCTGTAAAGATGTAGCCATAGTCAAATTATCTGAAGAACTGGGTGAATAGTATGACAGAGCTAGTGCATCTGGTACGTGTTTTCCGTGTTGTCCTAAACTGTACATCCAGAAGCTCCTTCACAAGTACAACATTTGTGCAGCTGAAGCATGAGCAGAGGTGATTAGCATGGGAGCAGGGCCTCTCATTTTCTTCATGCGGAGCCAAATACAAAAGGACTTTGATCTTTAGGGGGATCTCTACCACAGTGCAAAATAATGATGATGATAACACAACAATAATAATAGGTACAGATAGCAATGCTGAACCTTGAACATGTATCCATTATAAACACATAAATATTCAGTTGTCTACCATAAGAGCACAGGTCATAGACTCTTTAGCTTCATTTCCCTCCCACACATCCAAAAGTAGGCAGAAAAAATATTGAAATCTATTTATTAGTTGGTAAACAGTATCTTTTCAAATTGGTGTGTCAGACATTTAGGGAATCAGGCTGCTAATATGTTCCTGACAAATAATACAATATTAGAACCAAACAGGATATTTGAGATGTGAAATAAGCTACAGAAATCGCCAAAACAGCAGACACTTTCTTTCAAAGCAGTACAGAACAGGTTGTGAAAAATCCAAATTCCCTGCAGTGCTTTGAAAAAATTATCTTCTACCTACAAGTCAACTTGGAGCCTCAAATTATTAAATTATTATTCTATTGATTCTATATATAACTTTCTGGGTTTGTATGGGGTTTTTATTTGAGTGGGGTTTGTTGGTGGTGTGTTTTTTTGGTTTTGGGGTTTTTTTGTTAGTTCTGGGGGGTTTTGTTTGTTTCGTTGGTTATTGTTTGTTTGTGTTTTTTCTAGAATAAAGGATAAATGACCAGCCTATGGCCTCTGGGCCAGTTTCCAAAGTCCAGAATATCTTATCCAACCAATAGCCCCACTTTGCTGTCCTGTTCTTCTCTGAGGCCCTCAGTCACAGGGAAAAGATGAATTGCAAGCTGCTAAACTGGCAAAAAGGTAGCCAGAAGCTTGGTCTTAACACAGAGGCTTTTGCCCAAGGCCCTGTAGCCTCCACACTAGGAATTCCATCTGTCCTAGGCATGTCCCCACCACACGGTGAACGGGTGATATGAAAAGCCTTGCAATAAAAGTATGAGCGAATCTCAGCCTTGATACAGGCACTACTTGAAACTCCACATTCATTGCCAAAATAAGCATTTTCTGAAGAAAGCACTTGCATTTTAGTTTTCAAATGGATATGCCTCTCATTGAGTCAGAGGTTAGAGTACATACTTCTCTCAAACCAAAAGGCTGAGATTGACACAAGGAGTACAAAGCACATACATATGGAGTAAACACAACTAGTATTTTTTGCCAGATGTAATGTACCAGAACGTGGCTTTGGACATACATGTCAACAGTCTTGTATGTAGTGCCTTTGTGTCACAGTGGTTCATCCACAACATCCATATTTCAGGTGCATGCAGAAAAAGAGCATCCCTGCCCTGGGAAATAACTCTCCAAGAACAGAGGAGCTAAAAAAGACCCAGAGAGCAAAACATTCAGAAGGTCATCAACAGTAAGCCTTTCTGCAGACATGATAACAGGAGAATAGGTAGGTTGAATATGGAGAAGGTAGTGGCCTGGTGAAAGAATTCAGGGATGCTGAATAATACCAGTGGAGCTGCATGGAAGAAGTCAAGTATCTCTGTTATTTTCTGATCAAAAGGAATCAACTGAACTCGAAACTGACTGAAAAGTGATGAGCTAGTGCTTCAGAGATGGGTTGAAAACTGGGAGGTGGGGCTGCTGGCATAGTTTTGTTTGGCATGATTTCATTGTTCACAAAAAAAAACAATATTCCAAAACTCTTTCCGGGCAGTTATTAATTAGTTTTCTCCCTTGGATTACAACACACATCAACATCAACAACCCTTTTGGCTATGTTGATCTAGAGCCCTGTTCAGGCTTTCCATGGGGAGTTCCTAAAGAGCTGTCCCACTGGATGCATGTTGAAAGCCTCTTGCTTTGAAAATGCATTTGGGCTGGTGCCTTGAAGGGACATTTGAAACCTGCCCATGCTGCTTTGCTTTTTTTCCTGTTCTTGTTGTCAGGTTCATCATGCTGAGTCATATCTACAGCTAGATCATAATTATTATCCTGAAATGTCAGCAGCTGCTCTTTTCACCCCCATATGGTGCCACATTTAGGATGAGGTTTCCCTAATGCATAAACAATGACTATAATTGTGGGGTTTGACAACCAAGGTATCACAGAGATGTTATTCTTTTATAAAACCCCCTGCATTTCCACAGTTGTAACGAGGGGGTGGGTCATAATGATCCACATATTTCTTTGTATTTCTCCCCAAAGAAAGTCTATGACATAAGTGAATCCCTGTCAGCATGGCTTTTGGCCATCAGATGTTGTTTCACAAGAGAAACATCGAAAAGCCTTAGCAGCTAATAGCTTCATAAGTGTAAGAGCATTATTTGCCTAATTCCAGAGATGGTTATTTGATAGGAAAAAACAAGCCTTTAACCTCTATTCTCTTAATTTAGATGCAATTTCACTGCAGTCCTTGGATAGCCTTCTCCTTTAATGGTGCTTGAAGTTACAGGCTCTCTTTAAAAGTCAACTAAAAAAAGCTGAGGTATCAGAGAAATAAAAAACAGAACAAACAAACAAAAACCTTAGCAGGACTTGACAACAAGTCATGCAAAGTTCTATTTCTTCTTTCATTTATAGATATACTTCAACAGTATTTCCACTATCTATTATCTGCAGAGATAGAAGATAATAGAACAGTGCCAGTGAGAGGGCCACTGCAGCACCTCCAGTGCTGCAGTCCCAGCACCTGCAGTCCCAGCACCTCCATTCTGTATTTTGATGCCAAATAAAGCAATACAGAGATAAATGAAAGATAAGCAAATAGAAAAACCTGTAAGGGCAAACACAGGGTGAATATGATTTTTGAAGACTGGGAGAAGAGGCATAAAGCTGGTGGAAGTAACCACCACCCTTCATCTGAGATAACAGAGCCAAGTAGTTCTTTGATGAGGTAATACAGGTTTCTGAGACAAGGCAAAAGTACACCTTAAATCTTGAATAATGCAGGCAGGTGGTACTGATGGTTATTGCTTTGGGTAAGGGTGTATTTGTGTGTATGCCTGTATAAGAAAAGAAGTTAGCTGAAACAGAAAGAGAAATAAGCTCTAAACACAGCAGCTAAAAGGAAGCAACCTGGGCATAAATGCCTATAGGGAGATCTTACTGGGGGTACTGAAAAAAAAAAAAGTCATGCTGTAAGCAAAGATACTGTCTTTGTGGTTTTATTGCATCTGCAGGCAGAGAAAAGGGAGTTGGCATGTTCTTTGCAAATAGGTGGAACTGAAACCAAGAAAGGGCCTGACTCCATCAGTGGTTTAGCTTCCTAACCAGAACAAGCTCTGATGTGTGGCCATCTGTGTCAAAGGAAGGAATATTACAGATAACAAAGCAGACTAAAGGGAAGACTACAGACAAATGTATCCTGTCCTGAGAAAGCTAAGGATGTTATAATTAATTAAATCTTCTTGTAATGAATTAAATTCATTACATTGTAATGACTCAAAAGCCACATGTACAGAAATCATTGCAAATGCAAAATGCTTTAACAGATAGAAACACTGACACTATCTATTTTTAACTAAAAAAACTCTTCTGAAGCTTAAACTCGAGAAGGTTTAACTAACCTAGACACTATTGCTCTGCAGGACAAGAGGTTCAGGTTCAGTGAGACAGAAGTGGAACGTGAGTTCCAGAGCAATATTCTTCTGTGAGAACAAAGTCCCTCCAGGCTCACTACGTAGATGCTTAGGCCTCATTCTCCAAGCTGGCTTAGACAGCTAAGCCCTAATTATGTGCTTAAGGTCCCATCCAATCCTTCTCCTGAAATAATCAGTGAGACCAGATGTGATGTACCAAATGGTACATAAAATGGCAGAAAGCGGTCTACCTAATTTACTGTTTTCAACCTTTCCTGCACAAGCCTTTGTGCTGAAGCTACCACATGAGATGAAAACCACTTGGAGAGAAGAGCACAGAAAATAACTACTTTCTCTGTTGCTGTTCTCTGGGCATTGTTTCATCCACTTGGATGATGCTCACCTCCTTAGATTTAGCTATCTAAGAAATTGGCATCTAGGATAACTCAGTTGTCTATGCCTCCTTTATAACTATGGAGGTAGATGTTCACTCCCAGAAACATGTCACCATACTCAAACAGAGTAATCAAAGTTTGATATCTGTAAAAAATAGTACAGTCTGTCTTTCTCCATTGACTGAAGCGGGAGCCTAGACACTTAGTCACTCTGGATACACTACTTTGGGACAGTAGCAGACAAGTGACACAATCACTAGTTCTTCTGTTCTGGGCCACGATACACTGCCAAATTTTTCTCTGTGGTTACTCATGTAACCTTTCTTGTGTGTGACAAAAAAAGAGACTGTCAAATGGAGTGATTTTATGAGCATAGGAGATCCGACAAGTGCTCTCAGAGAAGAGAGCCACTAGACAGACTGCTTGCATGGGTGTCTCACCTGATGAACAAACCTCACATGGCTTCTTTCCATGAAGGAGCACTGCTTGTCATTCAGTATTCCTCCCTCTCAAAAAGTTGTGTGTGGTGGGAAAAAACAAGAGCACTTTTGTTGTCTCAAAAAGGTGTGGTTTGTTTAGGTTAGATTTGAGTGCCAGGGCTGTCTGAATGAGGACCAGTAAGAAATGAGAGCGTTTTGATCTGTCGGTCACTCTGTAAGAGATAATAGGCAGTTGTTTTATTGTTCCTCCAGCGTAATGTACAAGGATGACTTGTAATGAGGAAGAATCTAGGATAAATAGCTCTTGCTGTAATACTTTGCCTTCAGATATCTTAAGAAGTAATCTGCGGTGGGTATGTTTGCTGTAAATCAGAGGCTATGTCTTTGCATTTGGAAGTCACTATTATTATGTTAAAGGGTGTATCCTTTCACAGTTCAAGTATGGCATTTGGAAAGAAGTAATTTCACCTCAGAGTGGAAGCTTCCCTGGGGCACAAATCTTCAACACTGAAATTTTTTATGTGTACTTTGACAAACGCATGCCCAGTGGGCATGTGCCAAATTATGCCTTTGAAGCCATGGAAGCCTTGCTGTGGGAACCTAGAACTTTGAAGAATTTCTCAAGGGAGAGGAATCAAAGCCAGCTGGACTCATTTTCTATAGACAAAAATTTAATTGCTAGCTAGCAGCTACTACATTAGAAAGAAATCATTTCAGAGACCTGGAACACGATGGTGTGAACCCTTGTTAGAGGAATTGGGAGGCACCCTCACTGTGACCCATCCAGATCCCTCTCTTTGTACATTCTTTTTAACTTCACTATTTACTGCCATGGTAAAATGTGAGCATGATTATAAGAACCAACACATCATCAGCATTACTCAGCACCTAAGAAGAAACTGTAAACACTCTGTCTTTGAGCGCAAACCAGACGAGCAAAGAACAATTTCTTTAGAGCTAACACATATCAATTCAGCAGACTTACAGACAAGAAATTAACTTGACGCAGTAAAATTTATGTACAACTTCTTCTGCAAGAAATGGTTTATTTCCACAACCCAGCGGTAGGACATCATGTTCCTCATTCTCTGAGACATAACCTTGTAGCCCCTGAGGGGTAAGCTCCTCTTTGTCACAGCAGATATCTGTTCTGCCCCATGAGCTCTTTTTTGACTTCATCCTTCTTCAGTGCTCTAAAGTAGGTCCTGTGTCATCCTTAAATCACACAAAGACACGTGTTATTCTGCCTGATCAACAGAAAGAGACAGAAAATGCTCTAAAATGTTGCTCTAAGAATGTGTGTGTGTAACTCACATGTTACTGTACTATTAAGACAATGTTTCTCTATCAAAATAATTATGTTATAAATACAGCACTTCAGATAATAATTAAAAATCTTACTGATGGAAACTGCCCAGTGAAAGAAGGCTCAGGATATACCTTTACCACTACTCTGAGGTTAGAGCTAATTGGCAGACAACAAAGCTTACAAATTCAGAGGTTGATTGGTGTTGTCCTGTCTGCTTTTCTCCACTGACAGGAGAGCACACCTCTCCCTCTGTTACTCTTGTGATTTATTTTTACCTGTATGCAGACCTCCAATAAGATCAGTCTGTCATTGTGTTGGACTCTGTATCAATATGTAGTGAGAGAATTTCCACTATACAGTTTACAATCTGGACAGAGAAAGGAGAAGATGGAGGTAAATGTTTCTCCCTTCTTACATGGGGAACAAATACTCTGATCCACAGACACATTTAGGTGCTTTGTTGATTTGGATCTAGTAGGTCAGACTAACAATGACATTAAAATATCTTCAAGCACCAGTTGCTCTACCCTCTCCATGCACATCCTCTTACTTCAGAAGGGTGAAGAACCAGACCTGTTTCACTACAGTTTGAATCAGTACTGCCACTGTATGCCCAACACTGCTACCAAAAACCTATTCCTGCAATGACCTGTACTGGGGAACTGGTGAAGATTAAAAGCAGTCCAGAAAAAAAAAAAAAAAACAAAGCAAACCAAACAAAAAACCTCACATATTTTAGACCAGATTAGCTGCCTTCTCCGGGGTAGCAATCTCATTGCACCACAGTTGGTTGCACTGGCTTAATTTGCTCACATAACTACACTTTGGGTCACATCAGCCTGTTTGCCCTGGGTAAGAGTGCACACAAGGACAGTCACTGCTGTTCAACTGAGACACAATAGCTTGTTAAATTGTCATAAACTGATCATAAGTCTGAGTCCCAAATGGCTTACCCGAGGTCACCCAGCAGTTTGAGACACACCCAGAGACAGAACATCTCCGGAGTCCAGCCTAGTGTCAAAAACAACAGCGCTTTTCCTCTCTAATTGCAATCAATTGTCACTGTCTTCTGGTGGGTGTAACCAGGAGAAAATGGACATGGGAATGAACTGGGACTGTCCAGTGAGCCCTTCCAGTTTCAGCTGAGGCATGTTGGCAAGACTTCGTCAGGAGAACTCCATGGTTTTGCCAGATCCTGTTTCTCCATATGCAACAAGTGATAAGATATTGTTGAGTAACTCCCAGAAAAGTTCTTGTGCTACATGTAGGTGTTGCTGCCAGACAACATGTTCCAGGGAGAGCAGGTATTCGCTGCAGAAATAAAAAACATTTTTGACCCTAGAGAAGCTTGTTTAATTCAATGCCTTTCCTATGCACCGGAGCGGTGGAGTGTTACAGTTGGTGCTACACGGTGCATGATTTATTAGCACTATATTGACCTGAAGAACAACCAACACGGGAGATGTAAAATGAAATAGTGGGGCAGAGGGACCCAGTGTTGGAGAAATGCTGCTTTCCACAAGGCATGTAAACCCTAATTAATAGACAAAGACTCTATTCTTCGCCTGTGTTTAACTCCTCCCCTCTTGCTTCTCTTCCCTTTAACTGTACTCCTTTCCCCCCTCCAGTTTGCAGTAGCATATACAGGACCTGACAAAAGCTCACACAAATAAATGGCAACACTCCCATTGACTTCAATAGGCTTTGTAGCAAGCAAAGACAGAAGAAAATAGGTGATTATTTTTTCCTTTCCAAATGGCAACCCCCCTTCCCCCTCCCCAGTAAAACAATCCATATAGTAGTCACAAGTGCTTTATATGTGCAGTGCAATAGGCATAATTAATCCAACCCGCTAAACCACTAGCAGCAGTTGGTCTCTCTAATGCTTGGAAAATTATTTTAAATAGACATCACATCCACAAAATAGGATTTTTTTAGATTGTAAATATTGGGGTCAGATAGCAGTTGTTAGCAGCATATCTGCAGTGACTTCAAAAAGTATGAATTCATACACATAGAAGAACTGGCCCAAACCAGCAATTGCAGAACAGTCAAAATCATTTTGATATCCATGAGCTGTTCTTTCAAAACCATAAATATAGGGTCAACCCTGCTGTTGCCCTTCAGCCAATTATCTAGACATGACCTTGATTAATGACTCACCTGATTCTTTTTTGAATGCAAGCAGACAAATCTCCATCTATCTTCCTACTCTACAACCACGCACGAAAAAAATCCTCCATCTCTTCCTCTTGATTCATTGAACTGAGGACTTTACTTGTAGGAGCAGAAATCCCAAGTGTATTTAAAAAGTTATTTTCTTTTCTCTCATCACTGCCTGCAAGTTTGTCTGCTTAACAAAGGGCTATGATACTGGGCAGGGGGGAGGAGAGGGAATCCATTGCTAATTCAGTGTTCTAGCATGCTCTGAATATCTGAAATATCTTTGTTCTGAAAAGCTGCAAATTTGTTTGGCAACTCTTGGACAAAAATGATCCAACTGTATTGAAGTTTAGGTCATATGCAAATGCTCTTATTCAAAATGGTGTACGGAACACTATCTTTCTAATCCTACTACTAAAATATGATTTGTGGCTGTTCTTCAGAACGTCTGCCTGATTAAACACCCTTGGAAAAAAATGCATGGGATTGTAATAAAGAATCATAAAAACGTTTCTTTTAATCAGTAATTAAGTAGCAATTAAGCATAATTATTACAATTTGTATCTAATTTATAATATCGGTAGAATGAACAGATGTAATTTATCCTCCAGTAGTCAACAGTGCTTGGCTTAAGCAAAGCCAGCTCACACTTCACATTTGCAACACAAAAAGGATGCTGTGGATGGTGAGCAAATGGGTCTTCCCCAAGGGGTGGGAATATTCAGCTGTGGGGTTGGAACTGCTCAGTCATCTGGAAGCCTGTGAAAATACCTGTACAGACAACATGAGAGTTTCCTACTGTCTTCAGCAAATGAATCTTCCCTTTAAGTCAAGTGACAAAAATCTATAGGTTTTTAACCTCATGAGGAGCTGTCACTTTTGTGTAGTGGGCACAGTAACTCTGTTCAATGTTGCAAGCAGCCACTGCAAAACATAACCATAGGCTTTTTTAAAGAAATATTATTAGAATTGGTCAAGTTAATTTCATGTGGTGGTTGAGGGGAGTTCTTCACTAACCTGGGAAAAATCATGTAGTTTACTGATTAACTCAGAAAAAATGTTTTCATTATGAAGTTTAGGTCAATTTTCCTTAGCTCCATAGTTTTTAAATGCTTAAAAAATATGTATGTGATCTCTAACTGTCTGGAAGCAGCCAATCTGGCTACTTTCTGCCATGATGGTTTCAAATAAAACTGTTATGACATTTTCTTTGTTGTCTGACCTTGCTTAAGGTCTATCTGAGGCACACATGACTTGATGGTAAAAAAATCAGTCTTTATGTGCAGCTGATTGCCACAGAGCTGTGTTTGGGAAGTTATATGGTGGTAGGCCATAAAAGCACCTGAGAGAGCTCTCTGGAATCACTCAGTTCAGAACAGATACATTTACAGCTTAGAAGCTTTATCATTTGTGTAACACTAGCAAATCCATAAAACAGGCCTCCTGCAAAGATTACCTTCTGAATCTACTTCAAGGAAAAGTAAAAACTATACATTTGATGGATCTGGAATGTTCTTCAAGCTCAGAAGTCTGCATGCATGTGCCCTGCTGTTACTCTGTGCTAAGTGATCCCCTAAAGCACTTCTGCTGCTTGAAGATGATGCTTCAGGGAAGCTGCAAAGATGCCCAGAAAGAGCTGGAATAAACTAGAATACTAGTTTTGAATCTGACCAGCTTGAATCTGGAATTATTTGGGACTTGAAAATGCAGAAGAACTTGCTGAGAAACTAAAATCCAGTTTGCTCAAACCAGTGTTACTTTGGAGAGTCAACCAGGTCTTTGGTTTTCTCAGTGGCAGAAGCCTCACACATAGTCTGTGGATCTGTAAACTAAAGATTTCATGGATTCCTAAACCCTTAGGTATCAATATAAGTCTGTTAAAAAGATTCTTATACAGCAAAAACTTTACAGTTTTAAAACGAAGTAAAGGGTTTACTGATGGAATGTACCATTAAGACATAGCCATTTGAAAGTGGCAATAAGGAGACAGATGCATATTCAAATGTTTCTCTCTTTAATGTTCCAAGACCTAATCTCTTAAATGAGCCTAATCAGAAAAGAGGCATTCTAATTCTCTTGTGGGGAAGCAAAGGCGCCAGAGATCAAGTGATAACTGGGCTGTGAGTTAAAGCCATTCTCATAAGACTTTGGCTGTGTTTGAACCCAAACTGGAGAGGATTTTTAGGTACTGTTTCTGCCGGAATTCAAATAGAAGACACGCTTCTGTTCTTGGAGCACAAAACCAAACTATGGACAACCTTCATTAAAAAAAACAAAGCCCACCTTTAAAAAAATACCAGGCTTGATGATTTTGCTTTGATTTACATAAAGATCTTTTTCACACACATATACCTTGAAGCTGAAAGAACAATAAGGTTGTGAAGCTAGTCACTCAAAAGGTAGAAAGTGCCAGACATGAGGTTATATATGCAACCCAAATTCAGTTCCTTATGTGAACTCATGATTAGACATGCTTTAATCACATGGCCACATACATTTTTCCACAAGAGAAAGACTGTGACCTTGACAACTTAGAGGAGCAAAGCATAATATTATGCTCTGTGTTGGACAGTCCCGACAAAAGACAGAATTACCAGGTCTGCATGGCAAGAAACAGCTTGAGAGACCCAGTTCTGCCCTGAGAGGTGACGGTGGGAGACTGTGAAGTGCCCTGCTGCCACATCAAGTGGTTCCATCCCTCCACAGTACCAGTAACTTACTGCACAGACATGTGAGGAGAAATGGGGCAAGGCAGTTATCAGGCTGGGCCTGCAGCAGCGTGGCATGTTACACAGCACCAAGGAAATCGCTGACAAAAAGGGGCAGACTGAAACCAAGGTTGTTCCCTAGCCTATGACCCGTTTTTTTTCCTGTGGCAATCTCCGTTCACATTATCAGTACAGTACTAAGTACAAAGCACTGACAAAGTTGTGGTGGGTTTTGCTGGGGTTTTGTTGGTTTTGGTTTTTTGGTTTGTTGGTTTGTTTTGTTGGGGTTTTTTTGCTGGTTCTGGCATTTGCTGGCAGTTCTGTGGCATTTGTCACCTCTTATCTAAATATTTCTTTGTTCAGCCTTGTGCCGTTGAAACCCAGGTCTAGTTATCTTTGCTTTTCTAGCCCTCCAAAAGTGGTCACTACCTTGAAAGCAAGCATGGACTTACTTAGGCCTGAAGTTTTCCTAAACAAAAGACATTCAAATAATTGTTATGACTAATCATCTGCTGCCTGAAAATGCGCTTGCACCCTCTGAACCGAACTGGGTATTACAGAAATTGGGGCTGACTTCCACAATCACTTCAGTGCGGAGGCAATGACTTCCTTGAGCCCAAGTCCCCACAATAAGGATGGGTGGAAGGCGGGAGCAGGGGAGTGGAAGCCCAGACAGAGGCTCTCATCTCCCAGATAATAGCAGGAGACTGGGCTGCAGTGGCCTTAATCTCATCCCTCGAATTATAATTTATCCCTTTTTACTGCAGTGAGGCACCTGGCAAGGGGAGCCGGGCCTCCTCCGAGGGAAGCTCCCCTGCAAGGTGCTCGTTTCGCTGGTGGGGCGACACGGTTTCTGCCGGGATCGCCCGTCAGACATCAACGCGGGACTTGTGCCATTGTCCAGCATGACAGGACTCGGAGTGCCCGCGGTAGCCGGGAGGGCAGCTGAAGCCGGAGCAGCTCCAGCCCCAGGCGGCAGCGCCTGCGGGCCGGGCCGGGGCCGCCCTGGGCCGGGTCGGCGCAGCCCGGCCGTGCGGCGGGAGGCAGTGGGAGGCAGCTCTTGCCCCGGCGTGGAGCGTTCCCGCCGCCCGCCCGGCGCCAGCCCCGCGAGGCCCGGGAATGCCCCCAGGTGCGCTGTTCCCGGCGCTCCGGCAGCTTGGCCGGAGCCCGGCGTGGGACGCGGGGAAGGGAGGCCGCGGCTCCCCCGAGGGCCGCTCGCCGCTCCCTCCCCGGGGTGCAGCACCCCGGGGCCCCGCGCTGCTCTGGCCCTTCGGAGCGGGCTCCGGCAGGCAGCGGACCGGGAGATCCAGCCCGAGGAGTCCCTCCAGCCCCGAGGGTCCTGCGAGCAGGTCGCGGCACGGAGGGTGCGGGGCCGGTTGGTGGGGCCGCTTCCCCAGGCTGGTGGAAGAGCTGGACACAGCAGGATCCTCGGATCCCCGT